TTGTGATTGCTTTTTGTAAGGCTCATGTGCCACTGTTAACTTTGCAAGTTGCACTACTTTCCAGTATGATTCCAGGTACAACTCAGTGTGCTGATTATCACCTTTAAAGCCCTATATGGCATAGTTATCTGAATGATTGATTTCTCCCAAATACATCTACCTGCCCCACAGATTCCGACAAGGGGGACATGCTCCAGGTTCCTTCATTTAAATCTTGTTAGGAAACATGTCTTTTTTATTGTTACTCCTGTTCTCTGGAATGAAGCCCTTCCCTTCTGCCCACCCCGCTATCTGACATGCCCCCATTTTGTTCGCCTTTAGGAAAGTTTTTTCAGACTTGATTATTAGATTTGCATTTTTTGTAACAAAAAAACACACCTTTCTATGTCCTACAACAGACATGTCAAACACAAGGCCCGGGGGCCGGATGCGGCCCGTGAAGTGGTTTCATGTGGCCTGCGAAGCCATCCTGGAAACAGTGAAGGAACGGCCCCTGCTGCCTTGGCCCTGGCCCAGGCCAGCCGGGAGCCAATGTACAATTTTGTGGTGGCCATCTTGGCACTTGCCCCGGTGGACCATGCCTTGGCACCTGCCCCGGTCCCACCCCCTTCTGCCAGAGACCCTCAGATCTGTCCCACTCCTGCCCAGGCCCCCACAGGCACCCTTGACGCGAATGTAGAACTGGCCACGCCCACCCAGTAGGCCACACCCACTCCATCCACGCCCACCTGGCCCCCCAAGGGCAACCGCAATGCTGATGCGGCCCTCAGTGAAATTGAGTTTGACACCCCTGTCCTACAATAAGGCACACAAGTTTCATGAATACGAAATGTCCTGTACCTTTGGGTTGAATGTTCCATGCTAAAAAAAGATATTTAGGAATACATAAGGGTGCTGTATTGCACTGAAATGTATAGAAGAGAAATTGGATGCCCTACCTTGTACAACTACAGCAGAGACACCAGTGCATATAATCAAGTTTGAACGGGTAGATGAGTGAGTTGGTTGATTGGTTTTAACATGATTTTAAAGGGCAATTTTTAATTGGCTATTTTTAATAAAATGAATTCATTATGGAATTAACCCTCACGCTAATTAAACAAATGTATATTCAGATACAAAGATCTTGCACAGACAAAAAGGACTGTATCTTAAAGCGGAAGCAATGTTCTTCTATGAGAAACATGAAGTTTGAGATTACAAAAGAGCTACTACGAATAGCGTAGAATGGACAGTGATTTGAAGAAGGGTATTTACTTAAGCTTTACCGATGTTCCATTTCTCCTGAGTTATGAAGAACTGACTTACCCTTGGGAAAGTTTTTTAAAATGCTGTTGATAACTTTATTCTTGATGTCTTCATTTCGATCTTTTTGTCTCCCTTACATAGGCAGCCTTTCCAGTAAATACATGACTCAGGGAAAAGCTTCACAGAAGAGACCCCAACAAGATTCTTGAGAAACTGAAGCAATCTTTCAGTTGCAATACAGAACATCAATTCCCTTCAGAAAAGTTTCTTTTATAGGCGTTGGGTTCACAAAACAGCAGCAAAAACTGTCTTTGACATAAATCTAGAGAAAACACCTTTTATTTTAATTAAATTGCTAAAGTTACAAAGGCAATGAATTTTAATGTTTGTTCATACCATGAATCCTTGCTCTAAATAGGTTTGAGCATTTTAATAGAAAATCATGTTTGTATTTACTAGGTAAAACATGTAGATCAGGGAAATCCTTCACCCAAATCACTTCTAAGACTTTCTACATTCAGTGTGAATGTCTGAGTGCACTTAAATGATGTGCAAGCCAAATATAATGTCACCTTCAAAATATTATTTTTGAAGAGTAAAAAGGGTATTTATTAATGTTGAACATTGATTCCTTGTGTAAAAGTGTTTGGAATATTTCTGGACTGCTACTGCCATATTTGCAAATATTTTAAACTGCGGACAACTAAAACATGGACATTAAGTAAATTTTTATGTAAAAATCTTTGTGGAAAGCAGTGCCAATGAGTGAATTTTTCCCTTCTATTTTATTATGATTGCTATGCTGCTGTCCTTTCTGTACAGAGAGAGTGAGAAGCAAATTAGTTATGTTTGCTGCTGCTATGATTATTTCCCATTGTCCACAACTTGAAAAAATTCCTCTAAGGAAACAAAAGGGAGTTAAAACAAAGGAATGCATTTCTGCTTTATTGAAAACTAAACATGAGTGTGCTTGGCAAGGATTTACTTTTATATCATCCTCATCATCCAAGTTTTATGTCACAATTTTTTTCAGATGATGCAGTACAGCCTTTCCAGGAGAAAATATACAGCAAAAACATAAGACACTGTTATTTATGACCTTGGAAATAAAACAGTCAAAAGAAAACTATAAATTTCTACATTTTTTTGTATTGCACGATTGGGTTATCTAACTACTGTACAGAATTTTATATGTGCATACAAACTTTTCATCCATTTTTCATTCAGAAGTTTACTCAAGATATCCAACAAGTGATTTTTTTAAAAAAAAAAGATACACATTTTTAAATATACAGACTAAAATAACATTAAAGTTGGCATATAGCTTTGTTGAAATCCTCTATTCTAATAAGAACTCTCAAAAGTAGCTTCTGTTCTTTTAAAAAAATCCATGTAAGTACACTTTGCATAGATAAATTAATTTGACACATCAGAATTTGATGCATGTTGAAGATTAAAATGCACATAAAAGCAAGGAGGATAGAAACATCTATTATTTTTATTCATTTTCAAATGATCACTTGGGTGAAATAATGATTTCAATAAAATGCCATTTTCTCAAGGACTTTTACTAAAAGAAAATACCATTGGATCCGATAAGCCAAAGGCAAAATTGGATTTCGCTTACCAGGGGAGATAAAGACACCCCAGGATATCTACAACAATTTACTGAAACACTGTAGCAAATAAACTATCATCAGGGACCTGATCATAATGATTGCATGATCAAAAACAAGAGGCTGGAAAATACGTGTTGTTTTGCCTATCATCTTAAAAGTCACTTATCCCAGGTCCAAGAAGGGACACTACAAAGAAGTCTACAGGTAGGAGAAACATTTAAAAAACACTAGCATTGCACAGTCAGTTATTCCATCACCAAACGCAACGCTGCAGATTAAAGAACACCTCAAATATTCAGGGTTTGTTTCAGTTTACAGTCGACTGAACTGAAGAGAAAGAAATATTTGTTTATCATGTCTAAAGGTCTAACATAAAATATGGATGGAAGTGCATGTTCTCTTTCCCAAATAAAATAATATTCCAGTTGGTTAAAGACAACATCCAGAGAGGCTGTGAAACACGAGAAAACTTAAAGCTAGTTTTTGGAAGAAGATGAGGGACAAGGAAGCAGTGTTTGAAATAAACCAATATGCCTGAAACTACAGAATGCAATTATATGCTGGAAACTATCTTGAATTAAAATGTTTCTATTATAGTGATGCAGATGTGAGCTTTTATAGGAAACCTGGGTTCTGCCTTCCAACCTAGTACGTCTTTCCAAGTTACAAAGAGGAGACTTTCCTACCATTTAACTGTGGTTACAAGCCAGCTAGTAATGTGAAGATTGCAGGCAGGAGTCAGCCAGTCACTCCCTATTTGATGCAAGTTTCCTGAAATCTTGGATCATCCCCTCTCCTGGAATTAGAAATGACCCTTCCAGCACAAGCAGTTGGCCTTCCAATCTGTGCCTCTCAGTAGGACTTTGATGGTTCAGTTGTAAACCGTGACTCAATTGTCCCTTTGGAATACAGACCCCTTCATGGCCTCTTAGAAAGTTATACAGGGTTTGGTAACTAGGAATTATTCCTCTCAGGATTGTAAGAAGCAGCAATAAGATCAATGTAACAAAAATAGGGGAAATTTTGAGAAGTTACTTATTAAATATAAATGTATAAATGTATGTTAATGAAAGGTGTGATAAATATAAAGTGGTTGCTTCAAGCTCAGGAGAAATAGAGAGGTATGCTTGACCTGTGGTCCTCCAGGATGGGAAGTGCTTGAGACTGCAAACAATCGGATCCTTTTTCATCGGATGGGATTGTTTGGAATGCCAAGAAAAAAGGAGCAGAGGAAAAATATATCCTAGAGCAGGAGAAAAAGAGCTGTCTGCCTTGCATGTAAGTTCTCCGTATTATGTTTCTCGGTGGGGAAAAGGGGTTCTTAAAACCCACGTTCGGGTGACACTTCTGGATTCTGTTTACAGCTGGAAAATGAGGCCATCACAAGATTAAACTGAATAAATACAATTCGATTCCAAGCTGTTTTTAACTTTTTACATTTAACTTTTTACAGTTGCGACGCCTTTCTTAAACTGCTGAGCAAATTCTTCGTGAATACGATTCCCCGCGTTCCCAGATTATGACCAGGAGCCTCGCTGTTTCTCCGAGCGTGGGAATCATAATCCCGACATTTCCGGAGCTCGTTCCGCTGGGGATTGATTGCCTAACCTAGTCTGCCGATTAGAAAGAAATGTGTTCCCAGGGCAATCCCAAACGAGCAGGATAATCAGACGAAGTTCAGTTCGAAAGAAATAGGAGAACTTCATTAAAACGGGCGAGAAACAGGTTGTTCTCTTTTCGGTTTTTTTTTTTTTTTAAGCTATTGCATCCTTTAACATAAAAAGGTTCGCTCTACGTACATCTGACATTCCACCGGGAGCCGTCTCAGTTTCCCAGCCTTCTTCCGAACTCACCCACGACAAAAGGAGGCTGTTCGCGCACGGTTGGCTAGCCCAGGGGTAGGCAACCTCGGCTCTTTTATGACTCATGGACTTCAACTCCCAGAATTCCTGAGTCAGCATATGCTGACTTAGGAATTCTGGGAGTTGAAGTCCATGAGTCATAAAAGAGCCGAGGTTGCCTACCCCCGGGCTAGACTCTTGCGGCTGGGTGTGGCCTGCAGAAAAGGGCGGAGAGACCCAACCTCTTCAGGAACTGACCCGCCCACCCAGAATACCGAGTGGCGCACGATACACCCTATAGCGGCGAAAGCTCTCGAACAACAACCGCCTCCCTCCCTCGCTCGCTGACGCCACCAACGCGCCTGGCTTTGCGTTGCTTCGACCGCTGGGTGCATGGACCACATTGGAGGACGCGGCTGAGGCGGGTGAGGGTCATGGCCTCCTCCATGGTCCGAGCCACGGTCCGGGCTGTGAGCAAGAGGAAGATCCAGGCTACCCGAGCAGCCCTCACGCTGGTCAGTATTCGGGGGAGTTGCACCGCGCAGCCGAATCTGTCGCTCGCTGCAGAGCGGGCTTGAGGCTCCGGGCGGGGGGGGGGGGGGCTACCGGTTGGTAAACAAGCGTGCTGCGCAGGCGTGCCGTTGGAGCGGGCGGAGGGACCCCAGTGATGGTCTGGCGGGGATTGCTGCAGCCGCTTTTCCGGAAGCCCCCCCTTTTGTTCAATCTCCCCCCCCCTTTTTTTTTTGTTCTTCTATATATGCCTCATCTGCTTTCCACCACGGGCAGAAACATTCGCTAGGTAAAAAGTGTTTCCAGACGCAGTACGGTTAGTCCTCAACTTACCACCACAGTTGAGCCCCAAATTTATGTTGCTCCGTGAGAAATCTGTTAAGCGAGCTTTGCCCCATTTTACAACTATTCTTGCCACGTTTGTTAAGTGAATTGCTGCAGTTGTTAAATTGGTAACATGGGTTGTTAAGTGAATCTGGTTTCTCCATTGACTGTGCTTGTCAGAAGGTTACGAAAGGGGATCACATGACCACAGGGATGCAGCCACAGTCATAAGTGTGAAAAATGGTCATAAGTCACTTTTATCAGTGCCGTAAGTCGAGGATTACCTCTACAGCATTGCTTCTAGTAAACTGTTGCCATTGTGCAGCTGGTGGGAGATGAGCTTCACAGCTTTTCACTATTTTGTTACTGGACGTTATGAGAGGGAGAAGTATAGCACTGGAAGCTTTTGTAGTGGTAGTTTTTTTCTGCTGTTCTGCTGTAAACTAAGGCTTCTCAGTTTATTGTATCTCAACTGAGATTCCCCAATATTGAAGATTATAGAGCTGGAAAACACCTTTTATGCCACGGTGTTTTCTGTAGTTGCCCACCTCCTTTAAAAAAAATTATAGAGAAATACGTGAAAGGAATTTATATCAGGGTGAAAACACAAATGCCTCTGTGTAATTTTCCTGTTCTGGTCTTCAATATAAGTTATGGAACGGATTATTATATTTTATTGCCACACAACTTTATTGTGTGTAATGATGGGCATCAACTACTCCTCCAATCATTGGGTAGTACAAGTAGTCCTCGATTTACAGTAAACAATTCATTTAGTGACTTTGAAAGTTAAAAGAGCACTGAAAAAAGTGACGTGATCGGTTTACACACGTACGTACGACTGTTGCAACATCCCATAGTCACATGATTAAAATTCAGGCACCTGGCATGTATTTATGATAGTTGCGCTTTCCCGGGGTCATGTGATCACCATTTATAAACTTCCAGGTTGGCTTCTGAATCAAAGCCAATGGGGGAGGTCAGATTCACTTAACAACTGCAGTGATTCATTTAACTGTGGCAAAAAGATCATAAAATGGGGTGCAACTCATTTAACTGTCCTGTGTAGCAATGAAAAATATGGGCTCAATTGTGGTCGTAAGTTGAGGACTACCTGTATATGAGAACAAGTTGTTTACTTAGAAATGAACGTATTCATAGGTATTGGTGGCCAAGCACAGTAAAGCTTTCAGTCTTCTGTGCATAAAACCAGCTCTGTGGTGTTCAGTTTTATCTCAATGGAGAAATGGTTAAATACTCTGAATGTATTGAGATCTGAAATAGTATGATTTATATTTTCATAAGCAAAATTAACCCTGAGAACTTTGGGATCATGTCCACATAGTTTTTTTGAACAATGTGACCAAAGTGGTTTGCCCCTGCTTTCTTCTGGAGTGGTTTTCCAATTTCCCAATCTATCCCAAGCCTTCTAAACTGCTGGAGATCTCCCTCCCTAGTACTGTACTAACCAGGCCAAGCCTACTTAGCTTCTCAGATCAATCAATCTCATCTGGAAATCATTAAATGTTATTTAAATATGATAGCCATACATAATCTTAAGCAATATTTTCTTAAAATATTATAAATATTGACCATCCAAGAGCACTTCCTTTATATTTTTAAATTATTAAAAGGAATATAATTTTATTTTTTATTTATTTTTTAACGAGTCTTTATTATTTTTAAAGATAACTCCAGATGTTGAGCCTTCCTCCTCCCGTTTTCCCCACAACAGCCCTGTGAGGTGGGTTACGCTAAGAAAGTATGAGTGGCCCAAAGTCACCCAGTCGGGTTTCATGTATGAAATTACAATGAACAAAAAAACGTAATATTAGCATGCCCAAATAGCTGTTAGATGGACTTATAATTATTTCTGAGTTATAAACCTTGTAAGAGGTTTTTCCATGTGTCAAATCAATGTTTGATTGCATAAACCCCTCTCCCCATAGACCCCACCTCCACCGCATTACATTAATGACAAACTACACATGCAACTATATATATAAAAGTGTAATTGAAAAGAGATGTTACTGGAATGTTGGGAAGCCTAATTATTATTCCTCTCACAGGTTGGAATAATAGGTGTATCTCTAAAAAAACCCATGCCAAAGATAATGAGAAGCTGAAAAACAGGGCTGAATTCAGATTCTGCCAAGAGATTATTTTAGTGTGCTGCATAAAGATGAATAGATAGCAGCTGAGAAATGTTAGTATCATTTTTAGTTCAACAAAACAATTAACGTTAAAAGAAACTCTTGATTCCATTCTTCCCTAAACATTCAAGTGTAATTATTCTCTCACTACTTGTAGTTTTCTATGAATAAAAAGGACAAAATAGAACATACAATCCAATATTTGTACATTGTCTATAACATTTTTGTTTTAGAGTAAGAGGTTATTTTATTACATCTGAAGAAAGTTAGAAGTCATCATATATATATATATTTGTTTTCTGAGGTTTTCGCGGGTGTTTGTATGTAGGTCTTTGGTTATTCGGGTTTTCTCCCGCGTAAAATTGGACGCGGGAGAAAAATTTACGCGGGAGAAAACCCGAATAACCCTTTGATCCCCTCTGTCTTTTAATCTTTTTTTTCTTTTTTTAATTTGTATTTTATCTTTGTGATAACTTAATAAATTTGCTTTAAAAAGGTGTAATTGATAAGTCCTGTAACGCAAATTTCTTAATACCTTTCAGACCCCATCTGCAGTGAATAAGATAAAACAATTGCTAAAAGACAAACCTGACCACGTAAGTAGTGCTAGATGGTATGCCAGGCATTATTTGATATTCAGGAGTGTATCACAATCTGCTAATGAGTATTGCTGTAGCCAGTCACCAGTATATTATAGTTGATGGGAATGTGGTTGAAACAGGAAAACGTTTTGTTTCAAATCCAGAACAAACTATTGCAATCTGGACGTTGGGCCAGATCATTTTGAACTTGCAAAAGTTCTGCAAAACCAATCCTCAGAACACTCTGATTATGGCACTCTGATTTTGCATTACTCAAACAAAATATCTGGGCAAGCAACTATGGAAAGAGACACACATCCTCTTTCTCCTCAGCACTTCTAGCCTGACATGGGCTACAACCCACCTTACCAGCCCTCTTCTCTCATTCACCGCTGCTGGCTGGTCCCACTAGTCAGCCCACCTCAACCTTCCCATATCTTTCCCAGTTGCTTCTCCTGGTTGCTCACGTCTCCCGCATATTTATTCAACCAAATCTGCCTGCTCCCTCTTCCTAGCAGGTTTGCTCCCTCTTCTCTCGCTCCCGAAACCCCTTTTATGTGAATAAAAAAATCCCAATTTCATTCTGTGTACAAATCAAAATAGTCCTGATTCATTAAGTCACTGATCCTAAGATCCTAAAAGGTAGCCAAAATTGACTTTATTTAGGTGAACAGATTCTAGTCATGTCCCATTTGGACAATTGTTTTTCATGAGACTTATAGTAGAGTTTTGCACAACACTACTCAGAAATAAATGACACTTAGATTGAAAGGACTCAGAATCTGTGTGTATGGCTGATTTGCCCTAAAACTTTATACTATTCAAATTACGATAAAAGCATTGGGACAATAATTCTGGCACTTGAGAATTGTTGGCTTCATGCAAAAATGTTTCTTAATAATTTAATATTTATATTTCAGGTAGGAGTTAAAGTCGGTGTGCGCACAAGAGGTTGTAATGGCCTGTCCTATACACTAGAATATACAAAATCAAAAGGAGATTCTGACGAAGAAGTAGTACAAGATGGTAAGAGTACTCGGGATAGTAAGACTGCAAAAGTCATTGCAAATTCTAACTTCTAACTAAATCTGTTTGCAGTGTGTCAAATAGAATCAACAGAATTGAATGTGTGTAGCACTTCAGATTCAAAGGCCAAAAGGTGCTTCAGAGCACATAGGGATGGGCAAAGCAGCTCTTTAATCAGCCATGCCTTTGTTCCCAAGTGTGCCCTCTGTAGCTGTCCAGGGAAAAGACACATTTAGCTTCAGGTGTTGCTGCCAACAGGTGCTAGATTTATGACCTCATGCTCTCACCAAAGAACATCCCTTTTGCTTTTCAATCCAACATGCTGAATAGCCCCGTCAATAAGAATATTTTTTATTTATATCCCGCCTTTCTGTAGAATATTGACAGAGATTGATTCTCTCCTTTAAGCGAACATGGTGCTTTTACCATGAAATCAATGACTGACTAAAGGTCCAGTAATTTACTTATTTATTTTTATGACTAAGTCTGCCTACTTTTGAATGTTTAACCTCATACACATTTGGAAAAATACCAAAAAAATTATCAGTATAGCTTGCAGAGTACATCACTGAATAAGTGCAAAGCAAGTAGTATTTAAGGAATATCTATAACCTATTGAATATTTGTTGGCCTGTAGTGAAATATATGAACTATATTGTAGCAATATTTTGTGTAGTAAAAAAAAAAAAGCCTGTTGTATGCTAAATCTTTCAAATCTCTTTTTTCTTTTTAAAAAGGTGTCAGAGTGTTTATTGAAAAAAAAGCCCAACTTACACTTTTAGGAACTGAAATGGACTACATAGAAAACAAACTGTCCAGTGAATTTGTTTTCAATAACCCAAACATCAAAGGAACGTGCGGCTGTGGAGAAAGCTTCAATATTTAAATGGCCAGGACTAATTCCATGACTTTTAGCAATGTAAAAGTAACCAGTTTTTGTGTGTTTTTCAAGTATATAGACTTTGTAAAATAGTGGGCTTGACACTAAATAAAACTGCTGCATTTTGAAAATATAATCTGTGTGTTCAGTTCCCTCCCCCCCTTACTAAAACTTAAAGTGGGATAGAATGAAAGGTGGTTTGTTTGCAAAAAGTCTACAGTATTGCATAAGAATTCATAATTTGGTTTATAGCAAATTATATTTTTTAAGGAATCGACTCTTAGCAGTCGTGTTAATTCTTCACAAAATTAAAAAAGTTTCTGAAAACTTACTATATTTTGAATAGAAAGAATTATACTTCTCTGTGTATTACAGGATCTAAATATTGTTCATTATACTTTAAAGCAAAAGGCAATCGCATAGCAAAAATGTTCAGTGTTCCCTGTTTAAATGTTTTATAAATCTTTGAAAAATTAAGTTGAATTCTGATAGGCTTATGAGATTATATAACTTGAAGTGATTAATCCCTTTTAAGCAGGTAAACCTTTTTTTTAACCAGAAAAGCCAACAGTGTTTTCAACAATCTTATACTATGAGTGTAGCAAACAGTAGTAACGGAGAATTCTGTTTTGGGGGGGAAAAAAAGATCATGAAAGCAACTGAAAGTAAATTCTGCATTGTATTTACTAATTCATAGAGAATACATTTTCTCTAGTGGAGTAAATAATTTTATTATCATGCAGCAAAATTAAATTATTGAGCACCACAATTTTGTTAACTAATGGCAATTTATGATTCAACTTTAACTTTGTTAAAAACTGAATAAGAAGTCATTTTGCTTGAAAAAAAGCTTGAATTGTGCTGACAACTTAGAGAGTAATTTTACAAATATATTGTGTATTCATGTAATAATCTTGGATGAAATTAAGACTCATCTGCATGATTTTATGATTCAAGAAGTCATACTTTTACAAAGTTTAGTGTTCTTTTTACTTATTAGGTTTTTTTCCCCAATCAAGTACAGTAAATGTTTCCAAAACTCTCTCATGGTAAGATAGCAATTATCTTACATGGTCAGACAATCATACTAGCCTTAGGATGGGAGGAGGAGGAAAATGTTATATGAATGATATATGTCACATGTTACAGCACAAGATTACTACTCCAGTAACTTTATCAGTTGCCACAGCTCTGCTTTTCAGATACTTGCACTTAAGTGAAACACTGGGGAACAAATCCATTTGAAAACAGTTCAACAGCTGGAACAAACTGCTTTGGTAAGGCGTAAAATGCTTTGCATGGCAGATTTGACATGCTGCTGCTTATAAGATGTTTGAGTACAAGAAGAAAAATCAGCTTAGTCTGGACAGAGTTTGGCATGCTGAATTTTCAGCTCCTACAAACATGGTTTGCCTGGGTTATAGTTATTGATAAAATCTCTAAGAATATACTCATTAATATGTATAATATTGTTTTCACTTTGCAAAAATGGGTTTAAGTATTATTCCATGCTGAAAACAGCTATGCTATGTGATTAATGGTTATGAAAAGGACTTGAATGTAGCTAACATCATGTAAGAAACTTATGGATTTTTTTTCTTAGAAGCATTTTGTTTTTTCTTGATTCATAAGCTACTGTATGTGAATGAAATTCAGTTATGAAAATACAACGCACTGTTATTGAATACCTAACGCACAATTATGAAGTACATTTATACTAGTAATAATTTATGAATGTGTCTTTATTGATCATCTGTTATGTGTACCATAATGTAATTAAAAATGTAATAAATTATCTTTTGGTGATCATGGTATATATATTTATAGCAATTCCTAAACAAACCATAAATGAGAATTCTACTTTACCTTCCTAACTTCAAAATGGATTATTACAGTAAAAAGACACGCTTTCCATAGGTCAAGCTTGTCTTCCAATTACCCTGTACATGCAGTTTCCTTGTTGCTTCCTTGTGGGATATTTTTCAATTTCCCAGGCCAGCTTACAGTTCTGAGATTACCTAGTGGTCTCCCACTGAAGTCCTACCCTAACATTGCTAAGTTATTTGGATCACTGTAATTTAGCTAGATATTGCCATATGTGATAATAGGCAGAGCCTAGATCAGTGATGGCGAACCTTTTAGAGACCGAGTGCCCAAAAACTGGCCCTACTCCCGCTCTGCCCCCCATCCCCTGCCCCGCCTGCTTACTGGACCACTTACTGCCTCCAGAGCCCGCCGCAGATTGCCCAGGCAGCCCAGCAGCGCTATGGCAGCCACACCCTCTGCCCGCGCCCTGCAGCATCAACTGCATGATGGGGTGTGAGGGCAGAGTCTTGTCTACGCTGCCTGGCTGCCATTTCTTTAGCTGCGCTGCCCCATGTAGGCCACGCTTGGGGATGACTCTCCTTCAGGGGGGCTGCTGGAGAGGGTCGCGGGGGGAGGCAAGACTGGGGCAATGGCACATGTGCCCACAGAGAGGGCTCTGAGTGCCGCCTCTGGCACCCGTGCCATAGGTTCGCCACCACTGGCCTAGATTAGATGATTTCTAACAAAAATATTCTCCATATAAACTTGTTTTAATCTATTTTAAAATATAGTATCTAAGAGTTTGAGCCACAAACTGACAAAAACTTCATATTTTAAATCTATGGGTTTCCTAGGGCAGTACTATATTTTATTAAATTTATATACTGCTCATCTCAGTATTGAGAGCTACTCAATAAAAGGTAAATGTTCCTTTGGCCTATGAAAATATTTTATATTTCAGCAAAGTGATTGGGCCTTCAAATCTAATTGCTACAGGGGGGAAAAACTAACTTCTGCTGCAGTTACCTCAAATACTATTAAGGGGACTGATTGAGGACACGAGAAATAAGGCACAAATACAGAAATGAGAAATGAAAATCTATGGAGTACTGCCCCACCCACTTTGTGCACTAGTTTTGCAGGCCCTAGAAACCTCCCAAGAGGTAATGCGTATCTCAAAAAAAATTCACGAGGGGGATTAAGCAAGCTATTCCCTCAGCAAAGAATGCATTTTTATGACTGATTGTTCTGGCCCATAGAGCTCTATGACCCATAGAGCTCTATGACCCAGCTCTATGTTGGAAGGTCTGGCAGTTATTGGGTTAAATGCTAGGTATGTGGATGGGTCAGTGGGAGGAGTTCCAAAGGTCTTTGGGAGAGACTTCCTGGACACAAGCCACATGGGAATCTCTTTGTCTGTAAGAAGCATGGGCCATGGAAGGTCTCCCCTATAAGATGGTATAAAGAGCAAAATCTTCTTACCTAAGGAAAAGATCTGAAAGATGAACAACCAATGTATTCCCAGCAGCACCAATCTCAACATGAACGCAAGTAATCTTTCTCATTAAAATATATTTGTTTGTTATAAGATCGTTTCTTTTGAGTTAACTATCTGACTGGATTTGAAATATAACACTTTTGAATTTGGGTCAGTATACTGATAACGTGACAAAAACAGCAATCTTCTCCACCTACATGCCTCTTTGGTAGGTTGATGATCTCCGCATCACTTCCAAGATCAATTAAAACAGCCGACTCCTGCTTGTTAATGATTGGAGAGTCAGTTCCAGGTGATGTGGGAGGGCAAATCCGCACATGGTTTTGCAGTGAGACAAGTTGGGGAAAGTAGAAAACATGGCATATTGATAGTACCTATGCACAGAACTCCAGAATACATGGAATATATTCCCCTACACCAGGGGTAGGCAACCTTGGCTCTTTTGTGACTCATGGAACTGGCTCAGAAATTCTGAGATTGAAGTCCACGAGTCATAAAAGAGCCAAGGTTGCCTACCCCTGCCCTACACTCAACATCACTTGTGTTAAAATTGGACATGGATGAATTTTCAGTTTGGTGAACTGGAGACCAGTTACATCTCACCTGTCATATGTAAACTGGTGGCCAGGGAATTCTGGGAATTGAAGTCCACGTATCTTAAAAGTTGCCAGGTATGTAGAACACTGATTTACAAAACACTAAAAAAAATTTTTTGCATATATTACACAAATAGAACTTTCAATTTAACCCATAAGTAATATTTTGCTATCCTGTCTTAATCACTCCAATATTGCTTTTTAGTGGCAACACCTTTTATTTTTCTTAAAAAGATTTGGGCAATTTGGAGTCGTCCTGATCTACAACTTGAAGCTTTCAGCATTTCTTACAATGCTGATTGACACTGCCAGATGTTATATTACCCCTGGAGGACCACAGCAGTGACATGTTCCAGTATCTCAGGGGTTGCCACAAAGAAGTGGAGTCAAGCTATTCTCCAAAGCACCTGAGGGCAGGACAAGAAGCAATAGATGGAAACTAATCAAGGAGAGAAGCAACCTAGAACTAAGAAGAAATTTCCTGACAATTAGAACAATTAACCAGTGGAAAAACCTGCCTCCAGAAGTTATGAATGTTCCAACACTGGAAGGTTTTAAGAAGAGATTACACAACCATTTGTCTGAAATGGTATAGGGCTTCCTGCCTGAGCAGGGGGTTGGACTAGTCACTAGAAGACCTCCAAGGTCCAACTGTTCTATCCTATTCCTATTCCTATTATTTCCTTACATATTACTGATGTGCAATCTTCCCTCCCTCTGCACAGAAATGACGTCCGGGAGTTGCAAACTTACTTTCAAAGAATGCAAATGACCAGCTGTCTGCAAGGAATATAAATCCTTCCATTCCCCACCATCCAGTCAGAGCTGAAGAAGCGTCTTGGATGAGAAGCGAAACGTCTTCAAGGAAAAACAAGACAGTCCAGTTGCCTCGTCAAAAAGCACCTATGGGACAACTATGGCCTGGAATGACTGAGAATCTCCATAGACATCTGCTTTCAAAGAAACGCGAAGAGGGTGAAGACTCAATCGGGGGGCCCAGTTCGTTCACTGAGGAGGTAGCCGGGGCCTCGTCGTTCAGTAGGATTTGCTCCCACCTCAAGCTCCAGGCAGGGGTTCTCAACCTTGGCAACTTTAAGACTTGTGGACTTCAACTCCCAGAATTCCTCAGCCAGCTTTGCTGGCTGAGGAATTCTGGGCGTTGAAGTCCACAAGTCTTAAAGTTGCCAAGGTTGAGAACCCCTGCTCCAGAGGTTTGCGGCTGGATGGAGCTCCTTTTTTCGAGCACCGCGGAGCGAGCCTCCCCTTCGGACCAGCGTCGCCTGGCTGCTCGCTAAGATTTCATGGGGGGGGGGGGTCGGGCTAAACCCGGGCTGGCAAGCCCAGCCTCTCCTTTACCCCAAACTCCTTACCTTGCTCTCTTGTATAGAGGGAGGCAGCGGTAGAAATTGTGAGACGATAATGAGGCATCCTTTTGAAACCACTGATTGGTTCAGCGGGCGGGAAGGGATAGACCCAGCTTCCCCAACCCGGCTAGGCGAGGCGCATGCGTGATCTGTCGCCGCCGGTAAGTTTTGCTCTCTGAAATTGTCCTGCGGTCTTTAAATCCTCAAAAGCTGATTTCTCTACGTGACGACGATCTCTCACACTTCTGATATTTTGGGCTGCTCTTGTTAAGTGGTTTTTCCGATGCATCTTTTTCGTCTTGTGGTGGGAATGTTTGGAACACCGGGCGATAAGAAAAATTCCTCCGGCCCCGAAAGGGACGCTCGCTTTTTTTCCCCTATCGACCCCCCCCAGAGGGAGGTTTTTCGCAAAACACTCCTTTCCGCACGTGAGTTTGGCTTCTTTGTTGCCACCTGTTACCTAGTCGGGTCTCTTTTTTCCTTTCCCCTTCCATGCAGAAAAGCGGAAAGTTTTATAAACTCCGAAAAAAAGCTTAATGGACGTTTCTTAGGCTGGGTAAGTTTCAACTCTCCGGGATAAAATGTGGCTGATTCGTGTCTACTTCTGCGTGATGTGAGATTGTGCTTAACCGAGTTGAAGTTTCACTTGTTCATGATGGTACGCTTATGCTCAGGAGAAGATTTTGGTAATTAATTGGCTTGCATCCCACTGAAGCAAACAAACAAAAAGTTAAAGTTATAAAGTTAAGGATTAAGGTTGGGGGGGGGGGAATCCCTCAATATTATTTCTGTCCTGCTCTAATTTTTGAAAGCAGGAAGAGGCCTCTCAGACTTTTGTAATCCCAGTTCAAAGCATATACAGACAACCTTCAATGTCAGCCGGTTTGGTCTGGTAGTTAAGGTAGCAGGCTAAGAGACAGAGTTTTATCCCACCTTAGACATGAAAGCTACCTGGATGACTTTGGACCAATTATTCTCTCCCTCAAGCCAACCTGCCTCACAGGGTTGTTGTGGGGGAAATAGGAAAAGGGAGGAGTATTGGGTATGTCCTTGACTTATTTATAGAAATAATAAGGGTGGGACATAAATACAAAAAAATACAAAATACAAAAAAATCCCCAAATCCTTTTATAGTTTTCCCTGGAACTTTCTTTTTTTGACTTTTTGTCAAAAGCCAGTGCAGTGACTTTCTACATTTTGAAACTAGAAAAACAAACTTGTATGTCCTAATTATGCTTAACACATTTAATAATAGAAGGAAAAAACAAAAGAGCAACCTGAAAAATATTTTGCATTATTATATTTTGCATAGAAAAGACTGGACCTATCTGAAATGGTGTAGGCCAAGATCTCCTGCTTGAACAAGGGGTTGGATTAGAACAGGGCTTTTCAACCTTTTCACCCATTGTACCACTTTTAGGATACGGCAATATCCGAGTACCACCAGTCACCTAGCAAGGTGTCAAAAACTTGATGACCAAAAAAAAAAAAAAAAGGAAAAAAGTGATGAACTACAGGTAGCCCTCGACTTACAACAGTTCGCTTAGTGACTGTTCGAAGTTACAATGGCACTGAAAAAAGTGCCCCCCCCCCAAGCCACAGCCAAGCAAGACAGTTGCCTGTCCATCTGGCGGTGCTCTTCCTCCTGTCTGACGTTTCCATTGTTGTGAGCATGTCTGTTGAGAATTGGCAGTGGGGGTGGGGTGGAGTGTGTGTGGTTTTTATTCCCCCCCATCTGATGGGTGGTTGCAGCAGGTTTTGGTCACTTCACATGATCCTGGGACACTGTGACCATCATAAATATGAATCAGTTGCCATGCATCTGAATGTAAATCACAAGACCCTGGAGACAAGGCAACATTCCAGTTGATTGGTGCTTCTTCAGGGCTCAGCAGAAGCGCCAGATCAGCACCGAGCTCCAGCTGGAGCCTGGCGCTGATCCTGGCACTTCCACTGAGCCCTGACAGTCCCGAAGAAGTGCCAATCAGCTGGAAAGCGGCACTGAACCTGGTGCTTCCACTGAGCCCTGACAGCCCTGCAGCTCCAGCCATCTCTCGCTCAGGCTTGTGCGGTGCTGCCACCGGTTCAGCTCATTCCCCTCCCCCGCTACCACTTTTCTAGGATGGTCATGTACCACCTGCCAGGTGCCAATGTACCACAGGTGGTACCCATACCACTGGTTGAAAAGCCCTGGACTAGAAGACCTCCAAGGTCTCTTCCATCTCTAGTCTGATTGAGTTTGTTATATGATCCTGATTATATACCATGAAGTTGGTGTTCAACTCTTAACGACTACATATATTTTCTCCAGGGTGATCAGTCCCTAAGCTGGTCTTTTAGTCTTCCAATGGTGCATCCATCACCACTGTAACTGGTGATGGGTTTGCTACTAGTTGTCCTCTTCTCTTTCCTTTCCAGCCTCAAAGCTTTCTCTGGAAAGCTAAATCTTCACATAATATGTCTAAAACAGGATAATATATATGCCTTGAATGAGAACTCTGGATGAATTTGTTTGATAATCCATTTATTTGGGTCATTGAACCAGGCAATCCTAGAGCTCAAAAAAGGGAAGTCCATGTATGAAGAACTATATAGGTAGTCCTCAACTTACAACAGTCCATTTAGTGATCGTTCAAAGTTACAACAACATTGAAAAGAGTGACTTATGACCATTTTTCACACTTAATGACTGTTGTAGCATCCTTATGGTCATGTGATCAAAATTCAAAAGCTTGGCAACTGACTCATATTTATGACGGTCACAATGTCCCGGGGGCATGTGATCACCTTTTATGATCTTCTGACAAGCAAAGACAATGGAGAAGCCAGGCTCACTTAACAACCATGTTACTAACTTAACAACTATAGTGATTCACTTAACAACTGTGGCAAGAAAGGACTTAAAATGGAGCAAAACTCACTTAACCACCGTCTAACTTGGCAACAGAAATTTTAGGCTCAATTGCGGTCGTAAGTCGAAGTGTGAATTGATTCAGAGTGCTTCAAAAGAGCTAAGTGGGTTGTCAAAATCAGGACTACCAGTACATAGCAGCTAAGAGATACCAAATATTCCAATTTGTTGCTGTTTAATAGTCATCTGCATTTTTGAGCTCCAAATGATTTAGACCAACCAGATGCAGCTGTGGTATACTGATCAAACACTATTTGTAATGGTTGGCATTTTTATTAAAATTATATGCCGAGTGCAAACTAGTCAGCATCAGTAGCAAGCAAGCCTAAGTTAAACTGAGTCAGCTGAAGTATCCTGAATATGGTCATTGTTATATTTATACAATATAAATATTTATATTTATATAAATATAATGTTATGTTTATATAATTAAATATATATTATATATAATTATATATTATAATTGGTTCAAGTGTAGATACCATAATTACGCTGAATTCAATTCATTGAAAAAAGCATTGAAAAGAATGAGATTTTTTTTCTTACTAGATAATTGACTGGAATATATTGCCTTCTCTACAGTAGGCTTGTATACTATGCTAAATCAAAAGAAAAAAAATACCCACATTGTGCTTTTCTCTTAAATAGTTGGCTAAGTTGTGGTTTAAATCAGTCACAATTAGCTAGGCTCATAGATCATGCTAAATCAAAGCTAAACATGTTTTTATTTTTTATATATTTATATATTTATAAAAGGTATAGGCTGCCCATCTTACCTCATGTTAATTACTTATCATTACTAATTATACTTAATATATGTGAACCAGGATACTACATATTATGTCATCTTTGATCATTACAGGTCAAATTACAAATGTGCAATTTAATTTTTAATCTATTGCAAATCACTTTCTAGATAAAAAGGAATTAAGGAATATTATAAGCTACTAACCCTTGTATTTAAATGTATGTGAAGCAACTATGTAGAATGACTTCTAAAGAACCTTACTCAACTCTTCTTCATGCCATTCAGCCAGCAGTTCTTGAAGGACAGCTGCAAAAATGGATAAAGACCAACTCCAGGAACCCAACTCCATCTGCTCTAGTGTGCTTCATGAAGATGCAATCGTTATAAAGGATTCAGATAAAGATGCTACCGAAGACAGAGATACTCCCACATCTGTACTTTCCAAACAACTGGTTGAGTCAAAAAGCAAACAGAAGCCTTATCCTGAACTGCCACCAGCATATGTGCTTCCTTACCTGGTTTTAATAGAGAATTGTCTTCATTTGCCATTTCCCATCATCAGGAAACAATGTCTCACAGGAGAAATACTGTGCAGGATAGACTCTTTAATGCTGAGGCGCAAAAAGAAGAAACCACCTACTTTACTTGAAACAGCAAAAGTACCAATATTTCAAGGTTGCCTAGATTCTCAGTTGTAATTGGGGATGAGTAAAGCATTCAGATAAAATGAAAATATGGGTTAATGATTTTCAAAACTTAAGAATGGAAGCCAGTTTTTGAGCCCAAACAGTTAAGTAGTGGATCCTTTTGAAGTCAGGGAGAACTCCTGAATATTGTGTTCAGAAAGTGAATTATAAGAGAGGTAAAAGATTAAATAAAAGAATCAGCCACTGATTGGGAGAATAGCTATTTTGTAATATGAGGGAAACTGGAGATAAATATTAAAGTCAGAAGGACTTTCTGCTTAGAAGTTAGTAGCAAAATTCATAAAGTCTGTAGTTTGCGAATCTCATTCAAAACCTGTCTGTCTCAATCTAATAACCATAGATATTGTGGCTAAGAATCTTGGGAATAGCTGTCCCAACTTATGTGGAGAATGCCCCGCTTCAAAGTATTTACATAACTCATAATTTCCAACCTGATTGTCTTCCAAATGTGCAGACTTTAACTTCTGGAATTCTCAGAAATTGTCACACTCGCTAGGAAATACCTGGAAGGAGGCCAGATTGAGTAGGCCCGAGTTAAACATCAAACTATGTGTAAAACTTGGTGGCTGAAATAGAAGTGGCATTTCATTGGAGGACAGGACTGAATGTGGTCACTTAAGCTTGATCTTGAGCTTCTACCTCCTTTAGTTCAAGTTACAAGCAGCGAAAGTAGCCTCTACTATCTGGAAATGCACGTACCCCGTGTTTCCCCGAAAATAAGGCCCATTCTTTTTTTTTCCTCCAAAAGAGGCATTGGGTCTTATTTTCGGGGGTGTCTTTTCCACTGTCCTGCCTCACAGCAGTGGCACTAACAGTCCTGTCCAGAAGGAACCTGTGTGGCCATTGGCCCACTTCTTCTGCGACCACTCACTACTGTTCGCGTGTGTGATCCCCAGCCTCCATTTTGCCAGCAGAGGCTTTCAGGAAAGGCCTCTTAGCCCAGAATGGAGCTCCGGGATGATACGCGCATCATCCCACCCAGCCTCTGTTTCACGGGCAAAGCCCCTTCAGGAAAAGGCCAGGGAGAACCTGAAGGCCTCTGCTGGTGAAAAGAAGGGTAGGGACAACATGTGCAAGTGGTGGCCAGCAGCTGCAGAAGAAGTGGGCCAGTAGCGGCCATGCAGCCTCCTTCTGCATGGGGCTGCACGCCGCCGCAAGGTGAGGCAGTTGTGCCGTGGAAAGCGGGGGCCCTTAAGGTAAGTGGGTGCGGGGTGCGTGGGGCAGCTTCACCCCCCCACCCCCACTCTAGCTTTATTTTTATCCATGCATCTCATCCCACCTCGTGCAACCAGACAATGGGACAGTGGACAGGGTCTTAACTAGGGCTTATATTAGACACATGCATAAAAATCAAGCTAGGCCTTATTTTCAGGATAGGTCTTATTTTCAGAGAAACATGGTATGAGCAGAAGCTTCATGCAGGTCCTAGCCAGCTTGGCTGATGATGCCAGATATTATAGTAGGATTTGTAATTCTGCAATATCTGGAAGTCTGGTTTCCAACCCTAGCTGCACAAGAACAGAATTGTATTATCAAGCTGGTTCCTCCTGTGAATTCTCAAAAAAGAATTCAGTAGGCTATCTAGCAGCAATAGGCTATTTGATGGGCCTGGCATCTGCAGTTTCCAGTCCAATTATAATGTTTTGGCATAATATACTGAGTGCTATTCCTTTTTAAATTTTTCTCAGCCAAGGAAAAAAACATATTCACTAATATCTGATATGATCTGATATTCTGTACTTTCTTTCTTTAAAGAAACAAAATACGTAACTTTTGAAGGCCTGAAGGATCTACAGTGGAAATTATTCAAAGGTCTGCTAAAACGAAAGCCAAAAACAATAGGAATTTGGAGGGAGGCAGATTACAGAAAGAAATCTGTTACAAGTGTTAACCGTGAAGCAAAGGAATACATCCTTCCCCTGCTACCTAAAGACTGGATAATTGATGAGTCCCTCAAGTTTCCCAAGGAAAAGATTTTTTTGTGTTTTTTAGAAACTGAGTCACACCTGTGAATATGTAGCGGTCCCTGGAGTTTAGAAAGAATGTATGTAAACAAGCAGTAAACAACACATTGTGCTGGACATATAGTGTGATGCCATTAATTAATTTGCTTATTCTAACTTAAAATAGGATTATTTTGGTTTCCAGCAAGTCAGTTCTTTTTTTTTTTTGCTACAATAACCTTTTCTGCTATTCTATGCCAATTTATAATTCATAGGTGTGTATTTTGATTAGGAGAATTTATCTTTTGAACTGTATTGTTGCCTGGCTTTATCATTGAACTTGCAAGCAAAAAATGTGAAGCTACAAATGTTAAGCATCTTGAGTAAAATGGTAGAAGAAACACTATTTGGTAGTGTTTCTATAAAAAAACAAAAACCCATCCATCAATTATGCTAGGATATGTAACAAAGTAAAACATATGTTTTCAATATTAGGCTGGCCAGCAGATGGCAGCAGAAATATAATTTTGCCCAAAAATCATTTGCTGGCCCACAGGGGAAAAAAAAAACCCTATAAAATCCAAAGCTGAGTGATAGCTTTATTGAGATAAAAATGGGGTGGGACTCTTTACTTAAAGCAAACCCTATCAATCACAAAAGGTCTTTAGCAGTAAATAAAATAACAAAATTATTTTCACAGTTCTTGTATTGCAAGACCATATTTGCTTACAGACAGCCATTCAGTTAAAGCAGTTCCTATCTAGGAACAATTTCTATGCAATTAAGTGTGAACCGTATTTAAATCATTGCTTTGCAGAAATGACAATATTGGAGGGAAAAGCATTACAGGTTCTTTGGATACTGTGACTATGCTAGAGAAAAAGTATTGCAAGCAGTAATATATATGCCAAATGTATCTGTATGCTTGGAACTGCCACTCTCAGAATTTCTAGCCAGTAGATTGCAGCATTACCATCCCAGTATATGTGGGGAAAATAGCAATAGCACTTGCCCGATAGTGTTTTACAGCACTCTCTGGACACTTTACAAATGTCAGCATATTGCCCCCAACAATCTGGCTCCTCATTTTATCGACTGGATAGAAAACTGAGTCAACCTTGAGCCCCATCAGGATCGAATTCCAGGCTGTGGGCAGAGTTTGCTTTCAATAGTGTATTCAAACCACTGTGCCACCAGGGCTCCTTATGCTGCAAATAATACTAAACTCATTCCTTAATAGACATAATAGCACTATCTATGTACAGTATGAGACCTAGTTTGGTGTAGTGGTTAAGGTATTGGGCTAGAAAATCTGGGAGTTCTAATCCCACTGTAGGCACAAAGTCAGTTGTGTGAGCTCGGGCCAGTCACTTTCTCAGCCCTTAGAAAGAAGCAATGGCAAACCATTTCTGAAAAACCTTGCCAAGAAAACTACAGGGACTTGTAGAACTGCCACCATTGAACAAAAGAAAAAAAAGTACTAAAAGAGATAGTAGGAGTTTTATTGGACACACATAAACAAAATTTTATGAGGTAGAAAATCCCTCTCAGGGAACGCCTAACGTGCAATCATCATGAATATGCTCAGAATGCATATAGAAAGGGATGGAATATCATGGTAGATATGATGGAATACATTGTTCCTGAAGAGAGCACAGTTGCCTTAGCTGGGCCTGGTGTTTAGGCATCTCAGATAATATTGTGCAGGTCTCAGTTTACTTTAAAACGTATGTACCAAGTTATGGAATTTGATGAGTAGCGATGAGGTCCTCATCGCTACTCATCAAATTTCATAACAGCCGGAAGCTTCCTTCTAGGGAAGTATCAGCCTTGTGAAGCAGGCCAGACAAGAAGTATACCTGGAAGTACTAGCTTACTCTTTTACTGTAGTGTTAGATTGGCAAAATATTGCAAACCTGAAAGCATATATCTTCCCCCACCTCACCTTTATATTTTAAGATAGCGGCCCCCAACCTTTTGGGCACACCAGTTCGTTGAAGAGCGGCTTTTCCATGGACCAGAGAGGAAGAGGTTTCACATGCTGCCTGCATCCTGCGGATGGGGCTTCACTTGTTTGTGCGGCTGTTTTTGGCATACCGCAGACCAGTGCTGGTCCATGGACTGGGGGCTGGAGACCCCCAGTCTAAGAAACTAGGGAGGCCCCTTCATTCCTACATTCCTTCTGTGGACTCGGCTGCCATTTGCCTGACCATTGTCTGCTCTGTGGCTTTTCTCCCTGTCTCCCATGTACCATTGCAGGAAACCACAAAAGCAAATTGTTGACATGTGAATGATAATAAGTTAGGTACCCAAAGTAGATTCCATGGTGTCATTTGTGCTATGAGGTCATGGCATATATTTTGACATAATTATGGTTTGTTACTTATTCCTCTAACAAATTAGAATCAGAGGCACATGTGCTACAGCTAATCCACTATTGTAATCATTCACTGCCTTACAATTTCCTGCATTTTGATGCATTAGGATGACATCATAATAGCCGAGAAAGAAGACATTTGGGACTGTTGTAGTCCCAGTACAATATAAATGCATCTAAAAGGCACTAAGCTTGTATACACACTGATGTATACAAGAGTGAGTGATTGTGGGTGCACCAAGGTACACTCACGTGTCACCTATCCTCCGTGAGCTGCACTGGCTTCCTGTGGGTCTGTGGACACAATTCAAGGTGTTGGTTATCATCTTTAAAGCCCTTCATGGCTTAGGACCAGGTTACTTAATAATAATAATAGTAAAGTTGGAAGGGACCTTGGAGGTCATCTAGTCCAACCCCCTGCTCAGGCAGGAAACCCTACACCATTTCGGACAAGTGGCTGTCCAGTCTCTTCTTAAAAACTTCCAGTGTTGGAGCATTTACTGCTTCTGGAGGCAAGCTGTTCCACTGATTAATTGTTCTCACTGTCAGGAAGTTTCTCCTTAGTTCTAGGTTGCTTCTCTCCTTGATTAGTTTCCACCTGTTGCTTCTTGTCCTGCCTTCAGGTGCTTTGGAAAATAGCTTAATTCCCTCTTCTTTATGGCAGCCCCTGAGATATTGGAATACTGCTACAGGACCGCATACTGCCGCATAGTTCCCAGAGACCGGTGAGGTCCCACAGATTGGGCCTCCTTCAGGTCCCGTCGGCCTGCCCTTTCTGCTTCCTGTTGTTGCAAAGTTTCTGTAGAAATTCAAATGCTAGCCTAAAAAGGGAAATTACCTTGAAATGGTATTTCCAAAGAGAATGGTAGCCGTAGTCTTGGAACATGCAGACCAAGAAGTTTCAGATTATAAAAATATATGTATTGCCATTTTTAATCCCCTATTCATGGCTACAGTCCACACACCAGTTGCCAGAGTTAAACAAAACCCTCTGCTTTAGATATTGAAATTCAATTCTTTCCTATTAAGGGAGATAGAGAATTGTTTTGACGAGGTTCAGTGACTAAAACAAACTTTATTAAAACAATACACACAAAAAAAATGCTCCAGGCAGCGGTGTCTATAGGGAGAAGCCCTGAAAGAAGATGGCCGCAACTCTTAATCAAAGCCCTGCCCTTTTTTAAAATGTGTATTGTATTTACTTTGATCATGCAGTCAGCTTTCTTGACATTCATTTATAAACACTCCAGCCTTAATACAAACAGAAACAAAATATTTTCAAAGAGATTAAAAATTTAAATTGGATTTAACTCGCTATTTCACAACTCAAGATTCTATAGAAATGTATGAATATACAGTTCTCTTGTATGCAAAAATAAAAGATGGAAGAAGATTTTAGCATAGTACAATGAAAAAGGACTCACTTTTCATGCAATATTTCTGGCTAAGTATTTGTACTGATTTTATTCAAAGAGAGAGTTTCCCAAAACAGATATCCTCCCTATTCTTCCTGGGAATTCCAGTAAATTAATTCTCAGGCTGCTGGAAAGAAGGAAAAACATACAGTAGTTCTTCTCAGCCTCAGAACTCAATCTCCAGTTTTGCCTTTGGAATTCTCCCTTTGTTTTTTTAAAAAAAGATGATTTTCTGTCTCCAAGTGTGCTTAGTAAGATCTATTGACTCAGCTGCATTTAGCCTGCTCAATAAATAAAAGTTAAACCATGGTTTAATTGTACATCTTACTGTATTGTAAGGGAGAAGCACGTTTAAACATGAGGCTGCTGTTTCCCAAATAGCTATTAATGAAGTATCCTGGAAGAAGGTATTTTCACTAAGAATTTTAACAAATCCTTAGCAAAAGAGAGTAGTGTAGAATGTATGTCACTCCTCACTATGCTAAACTTTAGGCTACAAATTGCATGACACACAACTGCTATGTCCACATCACACAACTGCTATGTCCATATCACAACATTTACTAAATCCTAATATTTATAAAATATAATGGTTGGTTTCACATAATGTTAGTTTATTCAACAGGATGTGATTACACAAATCTGGATGTCTGTGGAGATTCTGTCATACAAATCATGGTTGTCCTAAAGGTGCTTTTTCAAGAGGCAACTGGACTTTCTTGTTTTTCTCTTCTCATCCAAGAAGCTTCTTCAGCTCTGAATGGATGGTGAGGAATGGAAGGATTTATATTCCTTTGGAGACAGCTGGTCATTTGTATTCTTTTAGAGAGTCATTGAGGCCATTTCAGCAATTCCAAGAAGGTTCCACACCCATTTGCACCATTCAGGTGACCTTGAGGATACAGATAAACCACCAAATGGCCTCAACCACTCTAAAAGAATGCAGATGACCCGCTGTCTGCAAGGAATATAAATCCTTCCATTCTCCACCATCCAGTCAGAGCTGAAGAAGCTTCGTGGATAAGAAATGAAACATCTTCAAAGAAAAACAAAGTCCAGTTGCCTCTTGAAAAAACACCTTTGGGACACACAAACCTGGATGTAGTCAAGTTCCTAAATCCTCCATATTTCTGGAAACTCCTGGCTTTCAGAGATCCAAGGGATTTTATTAAGTCTGCCTAGCTATTCCCTTCCTTTCTCTTCCTTGAATAATTAGCGTTTTCCTTGTTGCTATGTAAACATTCTTTCAAGTTAACAGACATTTACTTGTAAGTAGTACCTGCTGACTACAACTCACTCTTTGTTCCTTCCTTTACCCCCATATCTATTTATTCCTTGACAAGGTA